CCTCCACCCTTTAGCAGTGTGGACCGAAGGGAGAGCTTCTGCCTCATCCATACCTCCTGGGTCGTGAGGTATATAGAGGACCAAGGTTTAAACAAACGATGGTCCCTAGCTGGGACTTCCGAGGTCCCTTTTATGGATTTGGCATCCATAAAAGGAGATGCCTGGTGTATGGCACATTGATGGACCACAGAGCCAAGAGAAGGGGGTTAGCAACACATTGGAAGCCTGAAGAGATGCCCCTTTAAATTAGCTGCCCCACTCTGCCCTGAGACTGAGCCTTCTGACTCCCAGCTGCAAGCCTGAGGTTCCAGTGCCCTGATGGGGGAAGAGAGGAGGTTGGATGGAAAGGAAGGGATAGAGCAGCTCCCACCCCGCCTTGAGCTGGGTCAGCTTTGGAGCACTGGCCAAGAAGGAGGCTGCACATGGGAGGTCCCTGCAAGAATGTGAGGTGTGTGTGGAGGGGTGTCCTTGTGAGAGTGTAGGGAGGATAGAAAGGACTGCTCCGGAGGGTATAGCATGGCCCGCTTAGGAGCCTCTCCCAGTGTAGACTCCAGGAGAGGTCCCTGAGCTAGGAGTACCTTCCTGGGATTGGTTAGCTAGGGCTGGGGCCCTTCTCCTAGGCCTTGAATGGGAAGAGGTAAAGATAAACCTTTCTCCCAGGTATTTAGTTCCTGTGGTTGTAAAAGGTAGAATTTCTCTCTTGGATTTGCAAAAAGGAGAGAGAGAGAGAGAGAGAGAGAGAGAGAGAGAGAGAGAGAGAGAGAGAGAGAGAGACACACACAAACATATAGCTCCTGCCCAACACACAGCCCCTGCCAATCTCTCTGGGAATCTGTAATATAATATTTTAATCTTAATTTGATACTGACTGGATTCAGCTCCCAGCTTAACTGTATCTCTCCATCTGTGAGAGTGGTTGGGGAAAATCACAATATGGCTTTGTTTCCTAAGCAAAAATCTGAGAACCCGTCAGCAGGTGGGGGTGTTCCCTTGAAGGTCTGTCTGTGTACAGCTCTCTTTTGTCCTGACAGTCTTTCCCTCTTTGTCCCTTTTCTTTGTAACTCTCCTTAACTCCTGGTAGGGTTAAAGTGGCCCTGGTTAATGAACAGTTGTAATGATCTTGCTACTTGAAGAAGTAAGAAGGTGGGTAAATGAAATATTACTTGGTTCTTCCCCACCTTACGTGGCTCTGAGTAGAATCCCCTTTTCCTCCCTCCCATAGGCCACTGAGCTTTGGTGGGAACAGAAGGGCCTCCCCCAATTTCAGAATGACTCAGTAGGAGAGACAGAGTTGGTTCTGGAGCTGGAATAGACAGAGAGGGCTGGGAAGTTTGATTGAGTCCAGGTCCAGCCAGTTATTATTTGCATGAAGTTGGCCACAGTGTTTACTTCCTTGATTTCAGATTCTTCAGCTTCAGATGGGGCCATAAAATCTGCCCGGCCTCCATCGTGGGGCTATGGTGAGGATCACCCTAGAGGGCTTTGGGCTGAAGGATAATTTATGGAGCTATGGCATTGGATTCTCACTGCATTTTCTCTCTCTTATGCCAAGAATGTTCAAGGAAG